TATCAGGTCCACGTGTCATCCAACTTGATTACGATCTGAGTTACTAAGACAGTGTCTGTATTTTCTAATTGTTGGTCAGTGAGGTTATGTATTACAGTTGGCAAGTACACAATACAAGTAATGCATATATGATTTGTATTTAACATCTATTGTAAATAGTATAGTAGCAGCAAGGTACCACTGTTTCTAGAATATGTTTCCAGATTTATCACACTGATACTACAGATTCATAACTGAAGTATAATTAGTGCAATAAACCAATTGCAATGTACAAAGCTACCCAAGGTCTATGTTTGACTTTTCAAAGTGCTGTGCTTGAAACTGGGCTTCAAGCCTCTGATGAAGCCCATGCTATTTGAATCCAGTATAGTTCCCAAGTTTTGAGTTCCAATCAGGTCCAGTTCTAATATTTAACTGGGGAGTAGCAGATGGAGTAATATATTTAAGAGTAAAAGGAGCAACAGACCACTGTGATCAGAGTATGTCAGACCTCACTGAATGGCCATTGCTCTCACTAAATTTTGCCAGCATCCCATGACTGACAGTAACAGGGAGATGATGGAGAATGGCAAGGAGACAAAAGGAGAAAGTGGTGTAGGAGCTGAGAAGGAATCAATAGAAAATTATTGATATTGATGGAGCTGCTTTAACAGATTATGGAGTGGAATCTCCAGATCAGAGGAGGGAAGTAGTTTTTCCAACTATTTAACTTGGAACTGAGCTGGAAATTCCATAAGAACAAGTACTGTGGAAAAGATAGGAAAAACAATATCCACTGAAGTACAGAGAGTTACACTGGACTATTTTTTACAGTATCCAAGATTGTGCTACTTAAGGGAATCAATGATACCATTTTGTAGTATGTTTTTCTGTGTTAGGTCTGGTGCAGAGATAGAATGCCAACAGTGCCACCGAGTCTTATAGGCAGCCAGGGATTATGGAGGCAAAGGAACTACACAGTCCCTTGGGGGCAACAGAGAGCTATTCCTAGCATTAGAACATCAGGGTAGTTATTTACTCCTGAGTGTCCCAGTGCAATGCTTGTGGTGGCAAATACCAGGAAGCAGTCTGGGGCTGGGGACAAAGATGCACCAGAAAGCTAGTGAAATTTATAAAGGCATCCACATTCTATGTCAAGATAAACCGACATCCTTGCAGTCTGGCTATTAGATGCCATGAATTGCTACTCACTTTCTCCTGGTATAACATGTAATGGGAAGGCTTGTCAGAGCCACCACATCCGTTGACAGGTTTCCTTGAAACCTCCACGGTAGAGGACACCGGACAAGTTCTATCACCCTATATCACACTTCAAGGAAATGAGTTCAGGTAGAATTCATCATGCATACCCTGGAGAAAAGAATTTCCGTAACTTGCATTTACTCCAAACATCAGGAACTTTCTGTTTCAGGGAGCTGATCTACCAGAGTTTGCACAAACCTTGGCACTCAAGGCAGCCAGCATCGTCCCGACAGAGCAAGCAGCAGCACAGGGCCACTGGTTTGGCTCACACAGGAGAGCCTTGGGGCTGCTCTTCACCAACAAGCCCACCCTGGAATGCAAGTCCATAACGACACACACTAAATATGAAGTGGCTTTGTTTCAGTCTCAATTTCCCTGAATGTTTTCACTGTTAGCTTTATCAACAGCACTCTGCTGGGGGTGAAGTCGGGTCTCTTTTTACAGGCTGCAGACTGAGAACACCAGAGGTGGAAGACCCCAATATACTACAAAGCTGCCATTAATCCCGGAATGCCCTCCTGTCATCTGCTGGGACAGAAACATATGCTTTTTTGTGAATATAAAGTTTTTGAAAGAAGGACTGGGGTTCTTCAGGCCGGTCACTACTATCATAAGCCCAATTCTTGCGCTTTTGTCTGGGTTTGTATCAAATCTTGCACTTGATCTCTGGCTTAACTGTTCTAAAAAATTCAAGGAACTAGACCCAGCAGCACTAAGGAAAACGACCAAACTACTATTGGGTTTAATACAGCAAATATGAAAAATTAGTTGGCATACTCCCTTAGCTCTGTCATGAATATAAAATTTCATTTTCACTAACTTTCATTAAGTTCATCTTGACCTCATTATCTACTGGAACTGTGAACCCACATGGCTCAAAATCTAAACATAAAGCGCTGTTCTAACCCAGCTGACACCTGCAATGGTCCCTTTCTCCAAAGCCATGAAAATGTGACTGTGTGTTATGAAGGGGGATGGGTGGGCGGGGAGGGTGGAAGGGGAAATGTCTGAGCCTATGGGAAAAAAGAAAAGAAAAGAAAGGAAAGGAAAAGACAATGTGATGTGTGAGAAATGGGCCAGGGAGCTTGTGATAAACTCAGCTATATTTTGAAATGAATAATGATCCCAAGCTCTGTGAAACTAAAGTCCTCTTTGGCTCAATGAACACCAAGCAAATGAGAGCCCTGATTTGACCTGAAAGTCCCCAGACTGTGAGAACGCATGACATGGCTGGGTTGCTGCCCTTGTTGGCAGGTGCAGAGTGAGTCCTCCATCTGAGGCGTATTTTCTCTCTGTCCCGTGTGCCTGGTTCTTTGGCCTCATGGCCAAGGAGCAGAGGGCATGTTCTTCAGTGTGTCAAGCAACATTCTCACGGGGCAGAGATTCCACTCAGTCAATGCTACTTATTAAGGGAAAACAAAAGAGTTCTCCTCATATCTCCCAGAACTCCTGTGCACATTCTCAAATTGCAAGCAAGGCTGGCAACCAAAAGTAGCCCAAAGGAGTGAGTACCTGTATTCCTCACACAAAACGGAGCTCCACACACACGACTCTGGTGGAGGTGGTGGTGGTTTTTTTTGTTTTGTTTTGTTTTTGTGCTTCTAAGTCATGCTTGGTGAATTTTTTTCCTTATCATGCAAATACTAAGGTGCACTTAGTCATTACAATCCAAGCAAAGTGCAACAATAAATTTAAAAACTAAACAAGAAAATCAAGTAAACATTTCACTGAACAGTCTGTAGCCCTTGAGTTCACTGGCATCCAGTAGAGACACTGTCAACACACCTGGCCTCATAGCACCAAGCACCTGGACGAAGCCGAGGCTCAATAAAACACAGCAGAAGGATTCTCCTCTTGCCTCCGTGTTTCTTTGCCAAGTAACAAGGAGTTAAAAGAGGGGAAAAGAGCTAAGTCAGTAGGATTAAAAGCAAAACCAAAATAAAACAATAACAACAAAAAAATAAACTCTGAGGATAGGCCATGGGTTTCAGGGCTGGTTGCTTCAATTTAATATCACAATTGAGGGAAAATGAAGAGAGGGCGTTCACTTTCTTACTCCTATCCAGAGAAAGCTCTACAGGATTAGATAGTGCTAGCCCCCAAACTTCCTGAGGGAGAGGTTCCAGTACAAGAAGAGGGAAATGCAAACAAGATTTCTCCTAGAGACCTCTGTGCTGTGGCCTCCTTAAGCTATGGGAGCTAAAACTCAGGGCTTCAATTATTGTACAGCAAGCACAAGCTGGTAGATCAGGAGCTGGGCATGTGCTCGTGTTTTCAGCAGCTCACCTGGGATGCCAGTTATTGCAGGTAGCATGCAAGGTGTAGCTGTGGGCATCCGAAGACGGGGAAGGGGTGGGGGCCTTCACAAATGCACACATCCATTTGAGATCTCACATTTGCATTTCCTGCCTAAGTCCAGAACCTGACACTCATTCAGGACACCTGCAGCATGCTGAAGCGCGCGTGCACACACACTCTCATGTCCAGTTTTCTAGCTCCTTCTTTTGCAGCACTCATTCAGAGGCACCACCAGCTCTTTCTTCATGATTCATTGCATCTTCTATCCCAGTACGTAACGAGGCAGTGGTTTCTCAGATTGGGACCGCATCCACACACAGGCACTGTCCAGCTCTCACCTGCACCCTCCAGCAGCAGGATGGGCAGAGCCAAGGCTGCTGAGATGCATGGCTCTGGCAAGGGAACAGGACTGTAATGACATCTGTTCCGGGCGAGGAGAGTTCGGTTAGCTTCTGTGGGAGTGCTCTTGACGTAAGAAGCACTGCGGATTCTTACTCCATAAATAAATAAATGAAATAATAAATAAGCAATGAAACCACAAGGGGCCCTTCACCGGCAAGCACCTCTTCTCAACAAGAAAAGAAAAGAAAAATCCTCTGTTGAGTTGAAAGCCTGCACTCAGTGGTGACGAGCAGGCTTAAAACAACCCACAGGAAGTAGAACAGTCCAGACAAGAACTGGAAAAGTTCCACCACCAAAGTTTCTCACTTGATGAACTTCAAGTCATCCCAAACATCCCCGAGGTAGTCTAGTTTTCTAGGAGTTACAGATCAGCTCCAATCCTACTTGAAGCTTCCTCCTTGAACACCATTGCACTTTGCCTTGCACCCTGCAGCTGCCTCCATGTGTCACAGTCAAAATGCATTAGTGTGAGGTCTCGTAGCATGGACCTGAGTCCTAAGCAGAAATCAATGAAATGCAACTCCAGGATCTGGCTTGAAGACCTCACTCCAAGGAGGACTTTGTCAAAGTGATGCAGGCGCTGATCTGGCAGCTACATACCGGGTTAAACTACAGAATGAAATCAAAGAATCAGGCAAGCAACAAACATGCATGTCTATCTCTTTATGGTCTCAGCTCTCCAAAGATCTCCTCTCATTGTTCCTTTCACTTTTAAGCAGGGCCTAAAGAAGTAGAAGGGAATCAATGTTTCAAAATGAGAGAATCTTTTTCTGATACCAAGAGCAGTATACACAATGATTTGAAGAGTTAAGGTGACCAGTTGCCAGCACTGCAAGCTGCAAGGCGGGAACACCTTGGTGGTAACTAACTTACTTTCTCAGGAAGAAGTGGTGGCATTCATGAATACCAAAGTGAGTTGGTGCTTGACCTCCTTGCTCCTGAAGGCCAACCCAACCCATAGGGCAGTTCATACCGGCAATGAGTCATTCTTTTGACCTGGAATGCCATTCTGGTTTATCCTTCACACTGGCTCAAGCACAATACCTTGGGAAAAAAAAATAGGGAAACTGGGCCAAATAGGGAACCTTCCCTACTCCAACAGCACTTGGGGACCCTATTTCCATATTCCATTCACCACTATAAGCCACTGGGGAGATTCTGACCTTGACCTCATGAAAGAAGCTTTCTTCCCTTGGACTTAAATTTTGTTAAAGTCACATTTGGGGGAAAAAAAGCAATGAAAAGCCATGTAGCTTCATCCAAATGGCCTTCTCAGGAAGGAAAACAAAAAGCCCTCCTCCTCTTACTTCTCTGTCGCTGCCCAGGGCCCTTTCTACCAGGAAACCCTTTCGAACTCTACCCATGATCAACAACTTCCACGTCAAGTTGACTGAACAATCCCGCATCAGCATTTAGCCAAAGCCCTGTCCTCCTCCAGGAGGTCATTGAGCTCGATGACGGTCGTGGCGAAGTCCACCAGGTCCACAAAGTCAGATGTGATGATGTTGACCCCCGTGGCTCCAGGCTTCTGCGTTTTCACCCAGTCCAGGATGGCAGGAAGATTCCTACACAGAGAGGAAAGCGTTGGGGGCAGAGAAAACAGATGGCAAGAGTTGAGAGTTCTGTGTCTGCAGATACGAAATAATACATTACCCTTACTATAATAAAAGGATACCAAGAAAACCACAAGCACCCAGGGGCCCGTTTAAACTGGACATCTCTTTTAGGAGTACAAGTGGTCACTCTTCCACCAAGAATTCTATCTTCTACTCACCTCAAGAACCGAAGAGGTGCCATGCCAACAAGATCAAGCTAAGATTAAGAGCTTAATAGTTAGTGAGCTCTTTAACTATTTTTTAAAAAGATTTATTTTTTATTTTTTTATTGGAAAGTCAGATATACAGAGAGCAGGAGAAATAGAGAGGAAGATTTATCCACTGATTCACTCCCCAAGCGGCCGCAATGGCCGGAGCTGCACTGATCTGAAGCCAGCAGCCAACAGCCCCTGCAGGTTCAGGGACCCAAGGTTTTGGGCCATCCTCTGCTGCTTTCCCAGGGCACAAACAGGGAGCTGGATGGGAAGCAGGGTCGCCGGGATTAGAACCGGCACCCATATGGGATGTTGGCAGATACAAGGTGAGGACATTAGCCACATGCTACACGCCAGGCCCCTAATAATTTTTTTAGAATGATATATTTATTAATTTATCTGAAAAGCAGGGTGACACAGAGAAAGGGAGAGGCAGAGTGGGGGAAGAGAAGACAGCTTCCAGCTCCAGGTTCATTCCCTGAATGGCTGCAATAGTCAGGTGCAGGCCGAGGCCAGCACCAGGAGCACCAGCCAGGTCTCCCAGCAGCGGGAGGCACACGTACTCAGATCATTTTCCACTGCCTTCCAGGGCAAATTAGGAGAGAGCTAGATGGGAGGCAGAGCAACCAGGATTTACACTAGCGCTTGATCTGGGATGCTGAAAACAGAGGCGGTGATTTGAATGTTTTGTCAAAATGCTGGCCCTCATTTTAAATTCTATCATGAATATATTCAAGCACACGCCAATTCTGAAAGATTTTTATAGTAAGCATATTCACCACTCAGCTTCTATCACTACACTGGCTATCTTTGCTTGCCACATATCAATCCACCAACATCACCATGCTTGGTATTAATCATCTTGATATAAATGTATTCCAGAGTCTGTCGTAATAGCCTGGTGGCTAAAGTCCTCATCTTGAATGTGCTAGAATCCCATATGGGCACCAGTTTGTGTCCTAGCTGCCACACTTCCCATCTAGCTCCCTGCTTGTGGCCTGGGAAAGCAGTTGAGGACAGCCCCAAAGACTTGGGACCCTGTACCACATGGGAGACCCAGAGGAAGGGGCTCCTGGCTTCGGATTGGCCCAGCTCTAGCTGTTGTGATTGCTTGGGGAGTCAATCATTGGATGGAAGATCTTTTCCTCTGTCTCTCCTCCTCTCTGTATATTTGACTTTCCTATCAAAATAAATAAAATCTCAAAAAAATAAAATAAATGTATTCCAATCCCCCTCCATTTTCAGCAGGCATTACAGTTAGCTTATGTTCAGTATCTTATTTTAGATTTCCTCTTTTGAGACGAAGTTAGGTGCAAAAAGTGCACAAATCTTAGTTTAATGTATTTGCTGAGTTTTCACAAAACAAATTTAAAAAATGAAAGGTTAAGAGCATTAGCAGATTCAAGAAGTTCTTGGAGAATCAAAAATGGCGGAATAGGGATGCTGGACTCTGCTATTGTCCATGCCCGCCATGATGGACACATGACTGTTTGAGGAGAACTATACTGTAGTCATGATATAAAGGAACTCAGTGAGGGGGGAGGGCACAGGGGAGGGGAGAAGGGAAATCCCAGGAGCCTATGGAACTGTAGCATAAAATGATAATAATAAAAAGAAGTAAAATTAAAAATAAATAAATAAAAAAGAGAAAAAAGAAGCTCTTGCTTCCCTTTCCCCACTACTTCTTGCTCCATTCTCCCAGGAACAGTAATCGTAGGATGCGTTATTCTACCAGATTTGTCTCTTCTAGAACGTCATATAAATTCTGGTATGAGTTTTCCTTCATTCCACGTAATGAGGCTGAAGTTCACACATGTTGATGCGTATATTGATGGTCCTTTTTTTTCTTAGCACTGCACAGTATTCCTTTGTACAAATAAATTAGTTTTTTTAAATTTCCTTATTGATAGGTATATGGATTTTTTCCCCATTTTTTAATATTGTGGATAAAATAGTTATGGGCCTTCTTATACAAGTCTTTTTTTTTAGATTTTTGCTTTAATATTTTTTCTTTTTTCAAATAATTTATGTGAAAGAGGGGGAGAAAGAGAGAGAGAGAGATACAGGGAGAGAGCCGACACTGACGCAGGGTGAAGCTAGCAGCCACGAACTCCACCTTGGTCTCCCACACACTCGAGTGCTAAGGACCAAAGTACTTGGAATATCTTCTACTGCTTTCTTAGGCACCTGGATTAGAAATGGGGCAACCAGGATTTGAACCCGTGCTAGATATGGAACACTGGCTTTTATTTATTTATTTATTTATTTATTTATGTGTTCATTTAACTTGAAAAAGTTACTGAGAGGAGAGACAGAAAGACAGGGTACCCAATTGCAGGCGGAGACCTAACCTACTGTGCTCTAAGGCTGGCCCTTTATTCTTCTTGTGTAAATAGAAGGAATGAAGTTGCTATGATTTAGGGTTGGTTTATATTTAGCTTTATCAGAAACTTTCAGATCTTTTCCTGTGGAGATTGTTGTACCATAAAGGTGGACTGTCAACGGAGTATTCGCATCGCCTCCCTACCTCCTCCAATCGTGACGCTGTCGTTTTCATGACAGCATTATAATGGACGTGCAGTGATACTTCACAGTCACTCAATTTGCACTTATCTGATGACTAGGAATGTTGATCAGGTCACCTTGTGCTGATTGATTCTTACCGGAAGTACCTGTCAATCCTTTTAATGATCTCTTCATTTTCTATTTAACAATCTGTTCAGTTGTACCAATCCATTGCATATTTGACCCTAACCTTGTCAGTTATATTTTATGAATATTCTTTTGTATCTTGAAGCTTGTCAGTTGTTTCCTAACGCCATATTTTGATGACCTTGAACACAATGATTTTGATCGAGTCTAACCCATCAGTTTTTCCTTTTGTGAGTTTGATGAGCTTTTAAAGAAAATTTTACTTACTCCTAATTCATAAAAAATATTATCTATTTTCTAAAAGCTTTATGGTTTTACCTCCTATGCTTAGTCCTAGAATTCATCTCAATTTGATTTTTATATGGTATAGGTGGGGGACAAGCATCATTCTTTTCCTTATGATCTGTATGTGCTCTCGTTGCCCTGATTTCCTGGCGGATTGGTGTGTATTCGGTTATCTCACAGTCTATCGGCCTCACTATACAACAAAGGCCTCCTATGTGACACCCACAATGTCTTATCCGCAAAATTTAGCAGTGTGGTGACGCAACGAAATCTGCCACCTCAGTGGACTATTTCTGTATTAGCACACAACAAATGCCAGGACCCATAGCCAGGGAGTGATAAGCTTTGTGGTAAAACTAACTTACCAAGTACCCCGTTGGTGCAGAGCACTTCCAAGCAACACAGCAGCTTATGTTAAGTTGTGAGACTGGAGGTTTGTCATGCATTTGCTCTAGGCCCAAACTAGGTCATGTCAGTCTCTTAATTGGCTCCTTGGTATTATTTGGGTAACACCTCCCTGTCTTCTCACCTCCTTTTCTCCTGGGAAGCTGCCCCCATTTCTCTCAGCAGGTCCATGTCCTCACTGCCCTGCGTTCTGGAGCCCCTCGCAAGGCCCGGCAGTGGCGCTGTTTTCTTTTAAACAACCCCTGGGTCTCTTCCCTCACTTGGTGGCCTCTGCCAATGAGCCTTGGATTAAAGCTCCTCCCCTGAATCACTTCACACCCTATGACAACAGCTGAATGAAAGTTAAACCTCTCTCAGGGACACCTCCATGTGGAAGACTTAATAATTGCAGGGTGACCTCCATGTACTTGGTCCTATTGCTACTCAAGTTCTCCCCCTGTAAAATGGGGATCCTAACCATATCTCATGCAGAGTTTGGGGTTATTAAGCAAAAGTAATACATTGTAAGTGTCTGGGACAGTTCCTGGAATAGTAGTAAGCACTTTGTGAAAAGTGGAAGGAATCAAATTGGAAGACTGGAAGACTGAGACATTTGGAGGCTAAGGATGAGAACTCAGGCTACAAGATGTTATTGGCCTGAGAACAAGAGGCTGCATATGGAAGCTTTCACTGGAGACAGAGACCAGGAATACACAGGGCCCACTGGAAGGTGGGGTCAGCTAGACAAGACTGCCCACAGGTAGTGTTGACATATGAAACACGGGCGCCATCTGCTGGTCATCAAGGGGAAATGGGGATTGAAGACCTCGTAGGAACTTCAGACATCTGCTGTCAGTCAAACTCTGGGGGAGCCTGCACTGAGAAACCTGCAAAAGGCCTGTATGTATCTGTGGTCTCTATGGTGGCTTCAGGATATATGTGACATCCTTCCCCAAGGCAAGGATGAAATAACCAGGCTTACATTCAGAGAGAGGAAACTGTGGATCATATGGTGAGGAGGTACTACTTTATTTTCTCAACTCCTGGCATCGACCAGGATGACAGATCCCTACCAGAGGTGACTGGATATGGTGGACAGGCCTCCGCTTGTTGCTGCAGCACTTCCACCATCACTCACTCCCCTTTGACCTGGAGACCACCTGAGAACAAGGCTGGGCTGTTTCTACCAGTAGGACTGGCAGATCTACTTGGTGCCAGGCTCTGTGGTGGGCATTTTCATGTAGAGGTTCTGCAGTCTCACAAAGTGTTATCAACCCTAGTGAATTAGTAAGAAAACCAGTCAGAAAATTCAGAGCAGAATAAGGCCCCGTGTGGCTAAGCACTGTAGTGATTTGCAAGGGCTGGTGTGGGCAGACACCACACAACAGATGGCTTAAATAGCAGGGTTTGTTTGCTCCTGCTCTGGAGGTGGCTGAGCAAGGTCGGGCAGCCAGGAGGTTTGGTTTTCTCCTAAGTTCCCTCCCTGGCCTGCTGCATCCTTACATGGCACTGTCTCTATGCACACAAGACCTAGGGTCTCCCTCTGTGTGTAAGGTTCCTTTTCCTTGAAAGACACACTAGGTTAAGGTCCACTTATCATTTTAAGCTCACTGCCTCTTTAAACACTCATCTTAAAAAATAGTCATATTTGAAGGTACCGGGGATTTAGGGATTCGATAAATGAATTGGGGAAGCAGGGTCAACACTCCTGCCCAGCCAGAGACCATCCTGGTCTTCCATCCCAGCCTTTCTCATTTCAGCCCATGACCCACTTCGGGGTCCTGTGGGTGTTCTGTTCTCAAGTTTTAGGCGAAACCCCCTGTGGCTTGATTTCAGTACGAGTGCAATCAATCTGAACTTTGGGTGTCCATCACTCCAGGGACCGGCACAGCAGAGATGCAGCCAGAACGGCCATTTCTCAAGCTTCCTTCTCGGGTGATGCTCCATGTTGAGCCGGCTCCAGGGCTGACACTCACTTGGGAGTTAGGAGGTTCACTTCTACCAGGCAGAACCACCCCCACATCTGTGGAAAGCATGCCTTGTCTGTTTCCACATCTCATTGAGAGCGAATCCCTGGGACCCAGCCCCAGCTGGTCAGTGCCCCCTGGGCGGCATCTGGGTGCTGGTACTCAAGCAAGGGCCCTGCCCAGAAGAGGACACAGTCACGTTTGCCCTGGTCTTGACCCCAGTGGCATTTCCTCCTGCACTTGCAGGGCAGGCCTAGGAATGCATGACACATCCCTGTAATAGTCTTGTGACCAGCATGGGCTGAGATGCTTAAGTGCCTTTCTAAGCCCAGGGCTGCCAACTGGGCAAGGGTGATGGCATTCCTAGGACACCTTGGATTGAGGCACGTGCTGCTATCGTTAGATGAAAGAGCCAATGAGTCATCTGCAGCCAGATCACAGTGCCGGGAACCTGCATGTATGATAGGCACCGTGATACTGTGGGAAGACAACCCTAACCAGACAGATCTGGTCAGAGAAGGCACCAGCGCCAGAGACAGAAAAGGAACAGGGTGTTACAGGAAGTTTTCTCTGAGTCAGTGTTGAACACCGAGAGATCAGAAGAGCAGTCTGAGATGTATGACTGACTCCTAGCAGGGACCTAGATGTGGGTCATTTAACTGTACGGCATTCTTGCTGAGTGGGGGTGACAGCTCTAAATGACATGCCCTCTGAGGGACTGGCATGGTTTAGGAAAAAAGTAAAGCAGCATAAAAACGCCCTTTGTATAAAGGTGTGTGGAGAGAACCACTCTTCGTTTTTTAAGTGCTTCCTCTTCCTTGTTAAACGACTGCCTGCAGACTTTGATCGCAGCGATCTTCACACTGCTTTCCAGACTTGTTTGTGTCTGCTTTTCCTGCTGAGTTCCATCGGGCACAAAGGTTAGACTTCTTCATTGTCTATCTTTCCCTCCAGTCCCTCCCAGCTACTCAGTGTTTGTTGACTGAATAAATAAATTCCATTGTGTTCATCTACAAACTTACAGAAAGCATGAGGACAATAGTGTGTGTGCATGAACATGGGGCTGCGTGTGTAATTCTAATCATGGGTCTTTCAGAAAGATATGCTACTGTTTCTATGAAATCCTCTTTTTTTTAAGTTCAAAACAATTAATTGAGAAGAACCACAGATGCCACACAGAAAGAAAAGAATGAAACTCTGATTTGTGGCAAACTGGATGGAACTGGAGGACATGGTGCTAAGCGAAATAAGCCTGGCACAGAAAGACAAATACCACAGGTGTTCTCTCATATGCATTTGCTAAAAAAAAAAAAAAAAAAAAAAAAAAACACACAAGATGACTTCGAGGGCTGGCGTGGGACACAGGGATAAGCTGCTACCTACAATGCTGGCATCACATGTGGATGGAGAGCTGTGTCCTGGCCACTTCACTTCCGATCCAGCTCCATGCAAATGGCCCGGGAAAAGCAGAGGAGACTGGTCCCAGTGCTTGGATTCTTGTATTCCACTTGGGAGATGAAACTCTTGGCTGCTGGCCGTCGCAGCCATTTGGGGAGTGAGCCAGCGGATGGAAGATCTCTCAGATCTCTCTCTTTCTCTCTCTCTGTAACACTGACTTTCAAATAATCTTTCTTTTTTAAAAAGGATTTATTTATTTTTAATTGCAAAGTCTGATATACAAAGAGGAGGAGAGACAAAGAGGAATGTCTTCTGTCCAATGATTCACTCCCCAAGCGACCACAACAGCCAGAGTTGTGCCAATCTGAAGCCAGGAGCCTGGAGCCTCCTCTGGGTCTCCCACACAGGTGCAGGGTCCCAAGGCTTTGGGCCGTCCTCGACTGCTTTCCCAGGCCACAAGCAGGGAGCTGGATGGGAAGCGGAGCTGCCAGGATTAGAACCAGCACCCATATGGGATCCCAGGCACGTTCAAGGTGAGATCTTTAGCCACTAGGCCTCCGTGCCTGGCCCTCAAATAAGTAATCTTTCAGAAAACAACTGATTTCAAAGTAGAAGAGAGAAGAATAGTGTTTAGTAGAGACCAGGAAAGGGGAAGTGAGACGGTAGGCAGTCAGATAACAGGTACCAAAATACAGCAGATAGAAATGACAAGTTAGAGCGGTCCACGGCTTAATGTTCAGTTCACACTAATTTGTTGCGTATTGTGAAGAGAAATAGAAAAGAAGAGCTGGAAGGCTTTAGAAAGAAATGATAAGGAGTTGGAAATACCAATTACTATGGTTTCAGCATCACACACAGCAAACATGTATTAAAATGCACATTGTTATGTGCTAGTTAAAAATTTGGAAAGCAATGTGGGTTTCTGCTTTTGTCTTTGGCCAAGGCAAACAGGAGCAGTCATAAAGAAAGGAAAATCACAGGCTCCCCTTGCCATCAAATTCCTGCTAGATGAGACTCTGTTATTTGAGCTCACACGAGGGACATGTTTCTGGAGGAATCATTCCCTCTGTGAATTCCACTTCCACCACCTGCAGCTCCAGAACCAACAGACATACAAAGTCTGTTTTGTTGGTCAGCTATATTAGCCTCCTCAGCTCAAGTCACAAAGGGTGCCCTGTGGTTTGCAGGTATTTAGAACATCCCCTTCATGTATGGACATATAGACATGCATGTATCCATACCCAGAGATGGATATATAAACATGTACACACACATGTATACTGCAAAGTACTGTAGTATCCTTCATCCCTATCCAGGACAAGGAACATTGCCCAATACACGAGACTGGCATTTCTGCCGCCCAGGTGTACAGTAAGCCTCTGTGCCACCCCCAGGGATTACCCAGAGCTAGTGTATGCACAGTGGTTGGCATCCGCAGCTGCTGCTTGGGACTCACGGGCACCAGGGCAGAACAAGTGTTTCAAGCGCCATCTCCATCGAGTCTCTAGCATAGCAGTATGTAATGAATGATTTTTTAATAAGTGAGTACTTGGACAAATAGTAAGAACCAGGGTGGGAGCAAGACGTGGCAGAGCCAGTGGTAAAAGCGAACAGACCAGTGTGGCACTGATTCAAGGTGCTTTGTCATGTTATCAAAATTGAGAGCATTTTTATTTCCATAATGTATATTCCTTAACCACAGGCTCACAAGTCCTTTGTTAATACAAGCCATTCCAAATGCAAAGCTTTCTCAAATAGAAGGGTTTTTGTTTTAACTTTGTCAACTCAACGGGGTTTCTCTGCTGTTTATTCAGATAATTCAAAAGCAGAGCAAACCCTGACTTGTGAGAGGGCTCCAGTTCCAATTCTTACCTGTGAACCAGTGTGTTCTTGAGGCCTCCGACCAGGCCCCTGGCGATGGTCTTCACTCGGGGTGTGAGGATGGCCTGGGAGACATGGAAGGCCCCGCGGGGGGCTCGCTCACTCAGGGTGGTCTCTAAGAAGAGGATGAGCTTGCGCACACTCGTGGTGTTGGCCCAAGGTGCCGGGATCTTCTTTCCAGGCCACAGGAAGGGGTATTGCTTGTAGAAGGGACAGTGGTAGAAAATAAGGACCTGCCATGTTCGGAACAAGAAAAGGACAGCAACCCATGAAAAAGTGCAAGAGGTGACTTCCCGGGCTCTAGCGATTGCTGCAGAAAGCAGTCAAATGCAACTGCATGTAGAAATTCAAGAATTATTAGTTACAGGTGTTTCTAAAACCACAGAGCAAAGATTCACAGCATGTGCTGTGTGTGATGCAAAGAATCTTAATTTGTTTTTTTTTAAATGGATATGAACACCTTTGGAAGCAGAAAAAAATCACAGACCCCCCTTTTCAAATTACTGTATATAGAATTACAATAAAGTAGTGTAATCTATTATAATTATAAATTATGAGCTAGCATTGTGGCATAGTGGGTTGTGACAGAGCATGTTAAATTGCTGGGACGCCACCTCTTGGAGGGGCACTGGTTCAAGTCCTAGCTATTCCGCTACAGATCCAGCTTCCTGATAGTAGACCTGAGATAACAGCCTAGCTAGCCCAAGCACCCGGGAGTCAGCCACCCAAAGGAAGACCAGAATGGAATTCCAGACTCCCGCTTTTACACGGCCGAGCCCCTGCCACTGCAGCCATTTGGGGAGTGAACCAATGGATGGAGGATCTCTCTCTGTCTTTGCCTCTCCCTCTCTCTCTGTAACTCTACCAAATTTCAAAAAAAGAGAGAGTTATATTTTAAACAAACATATAAAAGAAAATAGGCCTACTAAAGGAAATCAAAGATATAGAAATACAGCTATCTCATAGTAAATACATTTGTAAGAAGTTTTTGGATTTGCTTCATGACACATGTATTAGATAGAGATATTTTGCATTTGGAGATAGCTGTCATCACTGAACATGTGATATGTCTGCACTGACAGGGATTAACTAAGAGTTCAGGCCAACCGGCTGTGGGTCGCTACCTACACTCGTGATTGACAGGTCCTAAAGGTTCGGTTTAAGTTTAGGATGGGACATGTTATTTTTTTTCCCCATTCAAATTCAGACTTCCCCAGCCCTCCCCTCCTCGCCAAGCCCTGGGGATTCTCCGGGAGCTCTCAGGTGGAAGTGGCCATGCAGTCTGCGGCTTCTGTGCTGAGAGCCTGCAGCTGAGAAGGACGCTGAGCTACGTAAGAGTCAACAGCTCCCCGACCGCTGGTTCTGAGTAATGTCTGCCTGCTAAGGACCATCCGGTGGTGAACGCATGGGCTAATGGGGTTAATCCCAGGATCCTGGTAAGCAGATTGCTGGGAAGAAGGGGAGGATTTCCTCCTGCTGTGTAGTTGGCCATCTTGGAGGAGAGCTGGCCCGCCCAACTGCCGTGGCAGGGCTGGGAGGCTGGGTGGCCTTGTGTCCATGCTGGCCCTTCGGGCCAAGAGAACCGTGCTGTCTTTCTTTTTGGGCAAGGTACATATGCGATAAAGGAAGAGGCTTCTCTCAAGAGCCTCCTGGAGCAATGTAAGGATGAAGGTTACAGGGGACATTTCAGATCAGATGGGGGATGGCTGGCCTAGCAAAGCCATCCGTAGAGGCTGCAAGAACCCGGGTAGGGAATTGCACCCAGGCTCTGTGTTCTGCAGTTATCTCCCCACATGGTTCTGCTGTAACTTTCCCCGACTTATTCTCTGCTCGAGTTCAGCAGTTCAAGTTCAGTTTTCCGTTTGAGTCTCAGGTTAGAAAAATCTCATTTCCAGGGCTAGTGCTGTGGCACAGCACATTAAGCTGCTGCATGGAAGATATGCATCCCATATTGGAGTGCCTATGTTAAGTCCAGCTCCTTCACCTCCAATTCAGCTTCCTGCTATTGCCTGGGAGGCCCAAGTGCTGGTTCCTGCCACTCACCTGGGAGACCTGGATGGAACCATCCCTCGCTGCTGTGGGTATTTGTGGAGTCAATCAGCAAATGAAAACTCTTTCACTTTCAAGCAGTTGAAATTTTTAAAAAATTAAAAATCACAGACCCAGTGCTGTAGCCTAGCGGCTAAAGTCCTCCCATTGCACGTGCTGGAATTCCATACGGGTGCTGGTGCTAATCCTGGTACCCCTGCTCCACCTCCCATCCAGCTCCCTGCTTGTGGCCTGGGAAAGCAGTTGAGGACGGCCCAAAGCCTTGGGACCCTGCACCTGTGTAGGAGACCTGGTGGATTCCAGGCTCCTGGTTTTGGATTGGCACAGCACCGGCCATTGTGCTCACTTGGGGAGTGAATCAGCAGATGGAAGATCTTCCTCTCTGTCTCTCCTCCCTGTACATCTGACTTTGCAATAAAAATAAATGGATCTTTTTAAAAATTAAAGATCGCATCTCATTTCCTTTACGATCCACTTCTTGAATGATCCTCTCTTATTCTGATCTTTCGTTGCCTGAGAAAGCAGTGGAAGATGGTGCAAGTGCTTGGCCACTGTACCATGTGGGAGGTCTGGATGGAGTTCTAGCTCCTGACTTGAGTTCGGCCCAGCCCTTGCTGTTATGACCATTTGGGGAGTGAACCAGTGCAAGGGAGAGTTCTCCCTTTCTCTCTATTACTCTTCCTTTCAAATAAATAAATCTAAGAACAAAACAAAAATGCTGTAACAGATATCATCCACTGATCGAAATGCAATATCCCCACTATTAGTTATTTCTGAAGATCCTTCCGTGCACCTGCAAATCCATAAGCAGTCACTGTGCAATATCACATGTCAATGACCAGAATGCCATCTGTGCACACAGACACAAAATCTTATCTGCACTCAGTTTAAACCTTACCTGAATTGCAATATCCAAAAGCCCCCTTACATGTCTCTATCCCCTTCTCCCATTCTGCCGACTCTCTGAGATCTTCTGATGCCAGGGTTTCATTAATAACGAGGAAATATTTTTATTAGCCTGTTACCTATCACCAAGACTTATGAATAATGGGCTGTAGTTGTGAATAGTTTAAGGGATTCCAGCTCTGACCACAGGTCGTTGGCATTATCTTGATTGATTTTCTTATTCTTGCCCACACCATTGGGGCCCAGTCTCTTCCTAGCACAGTCATCAGGAGTAAGATGGGCCATGTGACACAGTGCTCAGAACTCCCCTCACTCCTGAGCCAGCTGGTCGCAGTGTCTTCAAGGACAACATTCACCAGCTCTCCTTCTGACCTCCTCCACTTCTGGGTCTCCACCTGCTTGCCACTCCCATCACCTGTTTTTCCTCAAGACACGAGAAAGACTCCTACTTTAGGGCCTTTGCACCGCTTCCTCTGCTTGCAAGTATCCACATGACAACCCCCTGCAAATGTCTTGTGGATGAGAGCTACCCAGATGAACCCAAGTAAAAAACAATCAACTCTAAGCCACAGGATTTTGCGTCTTTCTTATTGCACTTGGCTTTCTGCTTTTCCATGGAGATTCAGGTCACTTTCTGCATTATATATCATGTGTTATTATCCTAATCTTATGATGTATTTCCTTCTACCTGAATGAAAGTCCCACCAGGGCAAGGGCTTTTGCAAGCTTTATTTACTGATGTATCTCAAGTCCACCCAGGGATGGACCAGGCCAAGGTCAGAAGCTGGAATTCAGTCTGGGTTTCCATGTGGGTAGTCGGGATCCTGGTCTTGATATCATCTACCACATTAGCAGGAAACTGAATCAGAAGCGAAGGAGCCAGTACCGAAACCATGCATTCTGACAGGGGATGCGTGCATCTGACACAGCAACTTACCTGCTGCACCAAATACCTACCCTGGCTTTGTTCAACTTCAGCAACCAGGAGAATGCTCCCCTGGGCTGGGAACCCTTCAACAGATCGCCCCTTCCTTAAATCTCTTCCTGCTACCCAAGTTCTATGAAAAGGGTCCATGAACATGTTCACATACCCCTGAGATGAATGACTTTACGAGACTTTGCCAGCTAATATTTTCCTTATCAATAATGAGGCAAGAATTATCTCCTACTGTGTGGAAGGTACCATGCAATGGATCGTCCCTGGGTTGAACTACGAAGATAAAAACAGACTTTGTGAGAGACAGGTTGTTAATGACCAACCAGCTCGTTGACATCCATTATGGATGTCAAATGGGCTGCCAAGCCAGCTTTAAATATTTGGCAGGTGTCAATTCCAGTTGAACAAAGCTCAGTGAAACCACTGCAATCACTTTGGAGCATAGGACTTAGTCTACATGATTAACAGTCCAGCCCTTTCTACCCTCCTGGCATTGGATAGAACTATTTCATAGCTTGCAGCACAGGAAAAGAACCAAGAGTTAAAAGTGTTGACTTTGTCTCTCCTCTCTTCCTACCTGGTGCTTCTTCTGCCACAAGGACTGCAGCGTCATACCCTCCACGTTGCAGGCTGGACACAACTTGCTTCCAAAGGCCTCCTGAATGCGGGTAACCAGGCATTTGTGATGGGCTTCTTCCATGGCATAGAAGTGGTTGAAATCCAGGAAGACAATCTCCTGAGGGTGCTGTGAAAGGAACGAGTCAATCTCCATCAGCCCGTCCCAGACCTTGATGCCAAAAAGCCCGTGGATGAAGTATATCTCCTGATCAGCATCGCCTGGCTTGGAAGACACGCGCAGGTCGAAGTAGCGGATGCCGGCCTCCAGCTGCTCCCGGAAGGTCAGGTTCTGAGTCACGGACCATTTCTTCATCAGCTTCTTCACCAACGAGATCCTGGCCAGGCGTTTGATAGCTGGGGTCTGGTCAGGCCCCACTGGGGACTTTTCATCGACCCAGTAGCTGAAGGAGTCATGGGAGCCTGTGGAAAGTAGCAAAAACGGTAAGTCATTGAGGCTGCAGCTGGCCAAAACTAAGTCAACTGAGAAGAAAACATCGAAGAAGAAAAGATGCTAAAAATGTACCTATGAATACTTGCAAAAATGTTCAAGGTTGCTAGGAACTAAATAAATGCCAATTAGAAGCAATACAGTCTCATTAGCTGCTTGTCAAGCTCTGGGGGATACTATATTTTTTAGATTGCTAGTATCAGTTAAATTGGTAACTGTACCTTTGGAGTGCTATTTAGAAATAAGCTTACAAAGAGGAGCCTTGAAATATTCATACCATTTGATCTAGTAATTTCATTTCAAGAAAGCTGTTCCAAGGAAAGCAGCTCAGACATTTGGGAAAGTAAAGCTCATTGCTGAAGAATCTCCTTAATAAATAGAGATGAACAGGAAGCTGGACGTGTTCTCATGGAAGACGCCGAGCTGGGGCTTGGCCGCTCTCTGTGCTTCCTGGGGACAACGGCCATGAGGACACTGTGTCTGTGTCAGTATTGCTGGGATAGGCACTGGGATAGCAGGAAAGGTGGAATTGCAGAAACAAACAAAATGTGCCCTTTTTTTCTATGAGTTTAAAATGAAAAATAATAAAACATTAAAGCAACTTGTATATTGCATGATTTTAGTGTTGGAAATATTCAGTCATTAGGAATGAGAAAGCAATTAAAGAATTTGATGGAGTCAATCCCAGTTGATTACAGAGCCTACTTTCTGAAATCGTATCTGTAACCAAAACTGCCATTAAATGATCCAAATGACCACGTGGCTTAAAGAACAAAGGAGCAGTGAGTCCCTTCGTGCTGAAATTACCTTGTTATAAAGTATGCATGACCGCGATAAGCATTTTTCAAACTGCATTTAGAAAATTTCAATATAATTATTTTCATGTGCTGACCATATTTAATAGGAAACTTCTCATTTGCCATTGAGCTCTATCCGGTCAGAGTCCCCGTTATGCCTATCATCTGCTAACGCATGCACCAGGCTCACTTGGTCAGGGTGGTGGCTGCCCTTGAGGCTGGGGACTTCACAGTGGTGACTCCATTTTGCAAGCAAAATCTCAGAAGGAAACATTAGAAAACGAGAGAGAGAGAAGGAAGTGGGGCTGGATTATTATTATTATTATTATTATTATAATTATTAGAATTATATAAGCAAAATCTAAGAAGGAAACATTGTTATAAAATAAAGAAAGAAGGAAAGGATGGAAGGGAAGACTGAAATTATTAGAATTATATTTAGGAACTCCACTAAATCTGTTACTTGTATTCCTATCACATTACTATGGAAACTGATGAGAATCCTGTTGCAGGAACTACCCTGCAACTGCCATGACCCTGAGAGTCTTATAAATCAATTCCTTTAAATGAAAGCGCTCTTTTTCTCACACCACTGATCTTGTTCTTAACCACGACCACCCATATTACAATCAAAATTCTCATATTCCTATAAGTCACTCCCATTTTATTAAATTCGAGTAGGCATTTTATACATAATATGGAATGTTATAAGACTCTGCTGCTCTACATTATATGGTTTTCATTTTGCTGAAAATAAATCATTTGGCGATGACGGTTACATTTCATGTTCTCAGACAGTGAGTACATGAGGAAAAAAACATGACAAATGGGCCTTTCTTTTTGTGTGGCATCCAGAACATGAAGGTCATTTAACTAAGTATGAAACAAAAACATATTTATGAATCTGTAGGCAAATGGAATTTTGCTAGTGAGAAAATTACCAGCATATTTCAGGTTAAAAAATGGGCATCACTCATAGAAATGTAGAGCAAGTCCCCCTGGATTCTTCACACGGGTAGTGTCTGTTAATGAGACTCACTGATGATTTGCTTGATGTTCTGCTTCCTTTGACTCTACAGCAAGGAGGGGTCTTTATACCTCCTTATTGAGAGATGCATTATGACTCCATTATGTATTTATGTATACACACACACACACACACAACCAGCAGCGCTGCTGCTCAACACTGACTGTGTGATACAATGCAAGGCACATCCTGGACTTGGACAAGTCCTCGTGCATCAGGGAATAGCCATTATCCAAGCCCAGAGGAGACAAGTCCCCTCTGGGGGCTCATTTGTTGGTGCTGAGCCCAGTTTCATCTCCGCGGGGGAGATGTGCTAATGACTCCCAACACTTTCCTCTGTGTCTGAGGACCGTGCACAAATGTGACAGCGAGCAGCCCCAGGGAACCACTTCTGAACACACACGGACATCCACGGTGTCCAGCAGAGCCGACAGGGGTGGCAGAGCATGCGTCTCCCTGGAAAGAGTTGAGGCTCTCTTTATCTCTGGCTTCCTTTCCATTTCCCTGGTCTTCTCCTTTCTGACATGCTGCACACAACTCCAGCCTCCCCTCTCCCTCACAGGACAGAACAGGATGACAGAGCACACTGTTGGCTGAATGCTATATGGAAGTTGTTCTAACTAAGCTGACAGCAGTCAGAGCCAACTGTCACTCATTCATTAATCATTACCAACATCTTGTCTTTCTACTTACTTTTTGCACAAGCAATCTTTTGCTCTAGATGGAGTCAGTGAAATAACATTTAAGTATTGTTATACTTTATATTAGAACAGCTAAAATGTTCTTCTACCTCCTGCACCTGTGACAGTTATACATGTAGCAATTTACCAATTGTAGTTAGAGAAAACCCCAGTGTTTTACAAATCTAAATTCATCAACAAACTATCCTTCCTTCCCTTTCCCTGGAAGTGGTTAAACTCTTCACAGACAGTGTGTAATGAGAGCAGTTCTCTGCTGTGCTCTGGGAATTCTGAAGTGAATTCACGCATCCCTCTGTCCTTGCCATGGTCTCTAAAACAATTGCTGGGTGGGGACGGTTATGGGGAATGGGAATAGGCCCATAAATTTTGGTTAGTTTCATGAAAATGTCAGAGAATTGTTTACAGCTCATCTGTGGTGGTTTCTGCCACTGAAAATATTTTTGCAGCCATTACCCAGCATGACCTAAGCATTTTCATCCACCACTGCCTATCATCATCTCACAGATTTAACTGGTGCCCTTTATGCAGATATTCCCTACATCTCTTCCCCCTTCACTGCTTGCTGCCTAGCTCTTAAGCCCACAGACCAGACCTGCTGCTTTTGTCTGCTGTTACCCAAGCACTCTTTTCTGACTCTGCCTCCTCTTCTACTACTACTCTTGATCGTGACAACCTTCTAGTCAACAAAGCCAAAGGGTGTTGCTCCTTTCTGGAACAGTTCGGTCCCTTGTGCTCGGTTGCACAGCTACCTGCTTCTGGGCGTGCCATTCTTCTCCCAGGGCTCTGCTTCTGTGTCTTTGGCTGAGGTTTTCCAAGGATCTGATGTTCCCTGTCATTTTGCCTTTTCCTGCCTTCGGAGGTCTTACCTGCTCCTCTAGTGGATGATGACATCACTCTGTGCATGATTCCAAAAGCTTCATTTCTTTTTTGAAAGAAAATATTTTCAGTTTACTTGCAAGGGAGTGACAGTGTGACAGCACTATCTTCTATCTGCTGGCTCACCTGCCGAATGCAACAGCTAGGATACAGTCAGACTGAAGCTGGAAGCCAGGAATTCTATCCAGGTCTCCACAAGTGAGTGGCAGGGATCTAATCACTTGGGGCATGTCTCCCAGGATGCTCATGAACAAGAAGCTCTTTCAGAATTGCAGGTCCTGGGACTTGAACCAGGTGCTCCAATATGGGATGTGTGTTTCCCAAACAGTGACAAATCACCATGCCAACTGCCCACTCCCAGCAGCTTCACCTCTAGCCTAGCCGTTTCTCAGTTCCAATTGTCCTTGCAGCATCCTTCTGCATTCCTCCAGGTCATGGCTTTTTCACAGAGAAAATTACATAAGCCAAAGCCCAACTGCTCCTCCCTGGCACCTCACAAAGTGCCCCTCCTGAATTTCTACCATTAGTTCACCGAGTTGCTCAGACTTAAAATCTGGGGTTCTATTCAGATTTTCCCCTCTCCCTTCCCATTCACCCAACTACTTGCCACACTTTGCATTTGACTTTTTATATATATATATATATATTTTTTTTAAAGATTTATTTTTATTATTTTTTAATTGGAAAGGCAGATATACGGAGAGGAGAGACAGAGAGGAAGATCTTCCGTCCGATAATTCACTCCCCAAGTGAGCGCAACGGGCCGATACTATGCCAATCCGAAGCCAGGAGCCTCTTCTGGGTCTCCCACGCGGGTGCAGGTTCCCAAAGCTTTGGGCCATCCTCGACTGCTTTCCCAGGCCACAGGCAGGGAGCTGGAAGGGAAGCAGGGCTGCCGGGATTAGAACCGGCGCCCATATGGGATCCCGGGCGTGCGAGGCGAGGACCTTTAACCACTTGTGCCACCGCGCCGGGCCCTGCATTTGACTTTTGCACTGTGTGTCAAACCTGTCTTTTCTTGCAGACTTCAACTGCCACTTTCCTCACTGAACACATTATCTGTCAAACAGTCAAAACAGTCAGAACCAAAAGAACACTAACGTGTCCTTTCATGCTAGCATCTCTGCAATCTGTTCATAGTCAAAGTCAGGGATCCCCAGACACAGCTCTGGGGGTGGGCATTAGATTAGTGGTTAAGCTTCTAGTTAACATGTTCATGTCTAAGTGGCAGTGGGTTAAGCCTCTGCCTGTGATTCCAGTATCCAATATGAGTGCCAGTTTGAGTCTTGGCTGCTCTGCTTCCAAATCCAGTTCCATGCTAACATTCCTGGGAAAGCAGTGGAAGATGGCCCAAATACTTGGGACTTGGACACCGACATGTGAGACCAGAAGGACTTCCAGGCTCCTGGCTTAGATTTGGTCTAGCCCTGGCCATTAAGGTCATTTGGGAAACAGTAAATGAAAGATCTCTCCCCTATCCCCTTTTCACTCCCTGTTTGTCACTCTGCCTTTCAAATAATTAAAAATAAATCTTAAACACACACACACACAATAATGACTGTATTTTACAC